TATATATATATATATATATATATATATATATATATATATATATATATATATATATATATATATATATATATATATATATATATATATATATCTTTCCATTGAGTTTCTATGTCATATTTTCATATTTTCTGACTTCTGATAGCTGTTGAATTTAATTCTCTGCCAATCTTCATTATGTTTATATATGTTACAATTTCATCCATACAACTGAATTCTCAACTATGTCATGAAACTTTTGCAGGGCAAAGAATCCTGTTGCTAGTATGTCTAAATATCTTACCAGTGTGGCTTTTGCTCCTCCTGGTTGCATCTGGAGTTGTAAAGTTGCCATTTGATCTCCCATTCTGGAATGATCTTATCTCATAATTGTCAGAAAAATAGTTGATACTCAGGTTTCCAGCTACATGTACATAGCAACTTAATTTTAAGCTTTTATTCCTGTTCAATCTGTATACCCAATCTGTCATGAAGTCAAAATCCCCTTCCTTTTCCTTCAGCTGGAAAAGAGAATTAGTTGCTATAAAGAGGGTTTCATGACATTACATGTAAGAAATGTGGAGCAGTTATCTACTTGTATCTACATTATATACACCAAGTAAACAAGGTTTATGATCATCATTATGTATCAAATGAAGCATGGTTTTGGCTGTGTTGAGTGGTGCTACCTCTAGAATCAACTTGTATAGGCATCACATGTGAGAAGTTGACATTGTAATTAAGCCTTTGAGGTTATCTTAATGCATTCACCCAAAAATTGCATCCTGTTGATTAATTGTATTAGAGGACTAAACATGAGATGGAAATAGCATGACTTTTGTAGCCAGCATAAATACTACTTGATGGAGAACTTACCTTTTTGGTGAAGTCCACATCAAGATTCATTGAACTACTTGTTGAATTGATTGGTCATGTCTTACTCCCAAATGCTCAATGTTTAATCCAAAACCAATATAGTACGATTTAATTACTATATTATATGCATATATATAGCTCACTAAAATAGAAGAATTTTCTATTTCACTACAATCAATTATTTATTTCCAAACCAACTCTTCAAGGATCGATTAATATTGTTGATATCATCAAAATTTTGGGATAAAACGAATTTTGTATATAAAGTGATATATATATATATATATATATATATATATATATGGTAACTTACCCAAAAAATATCATCAATAATAGGGTTTTTTGGGTTGAACCGAACCAAACTAATTCAATAAAAACCTAAGTATTTGATTATCCTTTTTCTCCCAAATTACCCCACACTACCCCCATTCGACTAATGGGCAACAACATTTGTCAACCTTCTTGCCGGTGGTGGTCACCATTATTGCAATCTCTGTCGCTATCACCTAATCTCCATCCTAGCCTAACCTACCGTAAGCCCTAGCCCTCGCGAAAGTAGTAGCAGGTCACCATTGCGGGAGAGGAGAGGAAGGGGTCCCATTGAGCCTCGGTGGTGGCACTATCATCACCGGCGTACTTCTCACCCCATCACCGTCGGCTTCCTACTCTATCGCCATCGTTAAAGAGGAGAGGAAGGGGTCCCGTTGAGCCTCGGTGTTGGCATTGTCATCGTCATCAGCTTCTTTCCTGCCCCGTCACCATCGTCGGAGAGGAGAGAAAGAGATTCTGCTAAGACTTGGTGGTGGCACCATCGTTGTTAGCTTCCTACCCCGTCTGTTCTTCTGTTAGTCTACTTCATGCTTGAGCACCATTTTTCTTTTCATTCAGATTGTTGCTTTTTTATCTAATTCATCGATAGTATCCTTGTAACATATTATTTGTCGATCAATTTTGAAGTCTTTGTGGTTTGTCTTGTGCTTCAAATCGATCAAGGAAGTCAAAATCTCTAGCTCCAATAATTGTCCATGTACTGAGTCTTACCATCAGTGAACGATGACTATACATCCGGTTTTATGTACAGTAGAATTTGTTGGATTCAATTTATGCATAGTTGACTTTTTATTACTAGCAGAACTATGGTATATTTTTTTCTCTAATTATTTGATCATTTCGAAAGTGATTTCTTGGTGTTATTAGATTTATTATAGCTTGTGGATTATTTCTATTTAGATTAGTTGATTTTTCGCTTAAGAATGAAAGAAGCACAAATGCCTATATCTTGGCTAGATGTTCTTTTTGTTTTTGCTTTTGAATTTGTGTATGAATTTGTTAGTCAGCCATGGTGATTTGGGAAGATTTTTGGTGGCAGATTATGCCTCCAGAAAGTTGATACAATGACCTTAGTTAAATTGTGTGCCGGTCATGGACATAGCAATCCTTCGAAACCTGAGATATATGTTGAAAATAAAAGGAGAGATGTGTTGGAATGGTGTTATCATATGACCACATGGCTAAAGTCCTACAAGTGCAGTGTCCATCGTGTACATGGTGAGCATTTGGAAGTGTCTGTGCTTCATGAGTTAGGAGGACCTTATGACTTGTTGACATCAACTAGGGTAAATCACTCTTCTTCAAAAAGGGATGTACTATGGTTTAAGTCCTTCACTACTAAGCTAGACTTTCTGCTGAGTGGATTTAGGATTCCTTTTATGGTAGTCTTCCCTCTTGCAAAAGAGTAACTTATTTAGCATGCTTGGAACTTGAGTTTAGAGGGCTGGTCATTTAGTTGATCTGGCCATGGAAAAGTTTTAATGCCCACATGATTACAGATTAAATAGAAAAATTAAGATCACATCCACAACATTAATTTTGAAGAACTTATATAGAAAAATAAAGTCTTTACTTATAAAATAGGATTACAATCTAGCATTCTGATCACTGTGTGACAAATTACATTAATTACATTAAAATCATCTAAAATTAAAAAAAAATACTACTAATCAACTTAGAATCATATCATACTAGTTTTGAATAAGTTCTGATCAATTACGTTCATTGTAACTCGAGTTAAACTCGATCATAGGCCCTAATGTAACAACACTAGGGGTGACAGTGGTGCCATTAGACAAGCGATGGTACCACCTATACCCAATGCTCTACTAACCTGAGGTGATGGTACTATCCTAGGCTAGAAGACAATACCACCCAAAACTACAGTATATATTTTAAAAAATAAATTCTAAAATAATCTAAAATTTTAGAAATAGGATAAATGATACTAAGCATATTAGAATTATGTTATGATTGTTATAGAGAAGTTTGGATATGTTTAGAGTATAATTACTAGAATTATACTCATGTTACACTTGAGTTACACATACTTTACACTCAATCACAAATTTAATCTTACACATCCCCTATTTCGATAATTAATGATCCAAAAATTTAAGAACAATAATAAAAATGATACTAAATATTGTACAACAATGTTATGATAGTTTCGAAAAAGATTGGATAGGTTTCGGAACACTTTAATGACTTACACTAAAAATATACTCAAGTTACATTCAATCACATATTCAATATAGAAATCTCTTATTTCGACAATTAATGACCAAAAATTATAAAAAAATAGAAAGGAGCGTAGAGTACAAGACATGCCACCCTAGACTCATCTCTGCAAGAACCTTTTGCCTCGAAGGGGTGTAGAATACAGTAGTATATGAATAGCACGTAACAATGCAATGGGGGTATTTTTTGACAGAAGTATTCCTAGTACATACAGATTTTAGCAAAATTTTGAATGAAAGTGATTCTAATTTTGGCTCACTTATGCTGATGTGTGTCAACAGGATAGAAATTAGGGTCAAAATGAATCCAAAATTATTGGTCATTGTTGGAAACCTAAATTTTTCAAAGAATAGATACTGTCATTGTTTATCGGATGTACATGCATTGACCCTTTGAGTCATTTCCTGGCTCTGGCCCTGGTGTCAAAACAATGGATGGGAAATAGAGAAAGGTGTCACGACTTATCTTGTCCTTGTCTTTGCCTATGGGGAGCATCAAATGCATGCATCTGACCCCCTTGTGGTCGGGATACTGTGTCTACTATTTAAATAGACTGGCTGGATGAGGACATTGCATAAGATGGTTCAAGGAGGCTCTAAGGCTATATTCCTTCATCTCAGTTTAATATAAGGTAAATATTTTTCTAGCCAGATTCCGGTTAATAAACAGAACCTAAATGACAAGAAAAGTTCACATACTGACCTGAAGCAAAACGCTCTGCTTTCTTCGGCACGAGAACCTGCATCATTTCTTCCTCCTCGTAGGCTGCATCATATACATTAACCACATTTAAATTATAATTAATGATAATCTATAATTAATGATAATTTTATTTTCCCAACGCTCAATTCTAAAAAGAACATTTTCTTGCAAAAGAAATCGATATATTGGGAACTCAAAGAGCTATCAGACAAGAAGAACCCAAATCAGACAACCGAATAATTGATAACGAAAGAGGTAAAGAGAAGATCTGAGGGCATATCATGAACCCTAACCTCGCATCAAACCAAGATCTAGGAAACAAAACAGAGAAAAAGAAGCAAGAAAATGCTTAGGCAAGAAAAGGACGGTGCCCTAGCGTACGTATTAGCAGAGGAGTTGTAGCTCGTGTCCCTCCAGATGCTGCCCTTTCTTCACCTTCGCGATCCACTGATCCAATTCCATCACCAGGAAACCGGCGGGTTCGCCGAGGATCGTCCTTGGTCGATTAAGGAAAAGAGGGGGAGCCCAAGTCGAAGAGGTTGCACGAAGGGGCCGATATAAACGTACTATTTTTTTGTCTCGCAAAAAGCCCAGAAAACAGAAGTCGTGTTTTCTTGTAGCGGCCGATATAAACGTACTCATTATTGTAACGGGTTTTTTCTCGTGACGGTCACGAGGGACACGAAACATCTCTTTTTCCGCAACAAAAAGATTATTGTTTATTTAATTGTAAAAGTGATTTTCCTAACATGCGATGGAATCGGATCCGTGGATTGCTAAAGCGAAGAAGAAGCAGCATATAGAAACACAAGCTACAACTCCTCTGTGAATAGATAATGGAATTGGATCAGTGGATGGTGAAGGTGAAGAAAGAACAGCATCCGGAGGAACATGAGCTACAATAATGGATACCTACACTAGGCAACTGTTCTTTTCTTGCCTAAGCATTTTCTTGCTTCTTTTTCTCTATTTTTTTTCCTAGATCTCTGTTTGGTGTGGTGTTATCTATTCAAGTGGAAAGTGGAAACTTTAGATTAACTATGATTGGTCGTAAAGATCCCAATCATTTAAGATTGACTACAAATTATTTTTTTAATCAACGAGTTATGTATAAAATAATATTTTTAATTAAATAAAAATTATCTTGTATTTATATTTTTTATATCATATTCTATTTCTCACACTAGTCATCTTTATTTTTGTACCCTTTAAAATTTTTAAGAATTATACGGTTTTGGTGTGTGCGTCAACATCATCAATATTATGGACAACAAACGAAGTCGTAGATGACAGATGATGAATGAAGGAAGCTATAGAACATGATGTGATACGGATTAAGGATAACTTCTTGAGGCCTAACGGTGATAATAGAATTGCCATTGATTCTAAACCAGTTTGTAAACAATGATCATCTTGATTCTTTTTGACAAGAGACCTACTTTGATATACTTTAGGTTTGTGTTGGTCATCAAGCTATGTTTCTTGTATGTGAAACCGATTCTTCTTTTTTTCGGTTGATTCTTCCCAATGGTGGGCGTCACATCATCGTCATGCTACTTAGATCGTCGCAATTAATTCGGTCTACGATTTAATCGAATATCATATGATGAGTTTCAATTAAATGTCATTTCTTTCCGTACAAAATATATACTTTTAAAATTATATTAAAAATATATTTATTAAAAAACACTTTATTTGTTGTTTGAAAAATAAGTATGTGATTCCCAATAATTGTTCCTATTCAAAATAACCTTTTATGCAAAAGAGAAAAACCTGAATTCATAAATAGAAATCTTAGCCTGTTGAAAATTAAATTTTAATTGAATGGAAACTTTTCTTCCCATATCAATATTTTATTTTCAAGAAGATTATTTTTATGTTTTTAGCTTATTTTATCAAATTGACACTTCCAATATAAGATATTTTTGACTAACGGGGGATAATGTTGATGGTGTTGGGCTGATGGCTCATATTCAGCCCATGTGGGCTTTATCAGCCCACACCCTCTCTTAACCTAACCCTAATTAAGATTAGGGGGGGTGGTGGCTGCGTTTTAGAGGCAGATTAAGGCTATAAAAAGGCAGCAACGAGGCAGATCTTTGGGGCCACGGGATTCCAAAGAGAAGAAGGAGATCAAGGCAGAAAAGGAAGAGAAAGAAAGGGAAGAAGACAAGGACAACGCAGAGAGACTGTTCACAATCATCTAGCAGTGTTCTCATCTCAGGTTAGATCAAATCTATAGTA